GTAAGATCCCAAAAGCCTCCCCATGGGCAGCTCCTCAGGGAAAGGACAGTCCCAAAAGGGATGGAAATGAAGGATGATGTGCAGCCAAAAAGCACTTGGAGCATCTCATCCCCACTCCCAGCTCAGCAGCACTCCCAGCTGCCTCTCTTTGGGAGCCTGCAACATCCAGCAGGAATTTATTTCTCTATGTGTGCTGAAATCTAAGGATTTTTTGGTAAAAAATGCATTTTCCTGCTCACTCCCGTTCACATCCAAGAGGAATCGAARGAGCAGAAAATCCAGAGAATCCACTCGAGGTTATGACCGTCAAAAATAAAAATTAAAAATAAATCAATCCATGCAAGTCATCCCCAYTGGCAGCTTGGAGGCAGCTCGGAGCCAGTGCCTGGGAGCAGAGGGGAGAGGATTTTTAAATAGCCCCTGTCTAACTATAACTGCACTTGAATAACCATTCCCAAAATACAGGAGCAGCTCAGACCTYGGGATCCCTCCCTGCCAGGGTGGGGAGAGCCTTGCACMGGTTCCCAGAGARGCTGAGGCTGCTCCTGGATCCCTGGAARGGGTTTGGAGCACCCTGGGATGGTGGAAAATATCCCTGCTCGTGGCTTGGGATGTGTTTTAAGATCCATTCCAACCCAAACCAGTTATTCTCACTGACTGATTCCAATTTGGCTTTCATTTCCCATTGGTCTGTCCCAAATTCCAGCTYCTCTAAACTGGTTTTACCCCTTTTTACCCCCAGAGGAGGTGCTGGAGCAGCTCTCGTGTCCTCTCTGCACCCAATTTTTAAACAGAGCTTTGCACTCATTAAGAGAAAATTATTTTGAACCCAGAACACTCCCTAAAATAAAATGTGGAAGGATTTGTAGGATCTGAAATGTTTTTTCCTGCAAGGATCTGCATTTCCAAGCAGAGCACTGCTCGTCCTCAGAGGATGAGGAGCTCCCTGCTTCACCCCAAAGCAAACCAGGAACAGCCCTGATGGGGATGGGAACAGAGCTGAGATGAACCCAAATTACCCCAAAAAAAACCCATCAAAAAGGAACTTACAGACATGTAGGACCGAGTTCCCACAAAGGAATTGGCCATGGAGTCAATGAGCTGCCCGCTGACCCCGAAATCACAGAGCTTGATCTCCCCYCGGGAATTCACCAGGATGTTGGAGGGTTTCACATCTGGGACAGCGAGAGAGGGGACGGTGAGGGTGGCTCTGGGTGACACCAAAATCCCAGGTGGGGATTTTTGGGGTCCCTGCTCTCACCTCTGTGCATGATTTGGTGCTTCTCCCGCAGGTAGGCCAGGCCCCGCAGCACCTGCAGGAATCCAAAGGTTGGATGAGAGCAGAGCTGGGCAGGGAAGAGCTTTTCCCTCAGCAGGACACAGGAGCTGCCCTGTGCTGTCTGTGCCCTTGGGGTTTGTCATTTATCCCCAATTCCATCACATTTTTTGGCTTCTCCCAAACTTTTCTGAGATGAACCCAACATGTGGGAGGTGGGGAAAAGGGTTGGGAATATCCCATTTGCCTCTCAGCTCAGGGAAGCACAGCCCCCAGGACTGGGGAGCACAGAAAACTTCCCAAAACAATTCCCAATCCCTGCCCAGCAATCCCCCTGGAATCCTGACAGCCCCCAGGACT